TATCATGTACTTTGCCAACAGTATTTTTGCGTGCCTGAGGCCAGAACAAATTTCTTCTGATCTTTGTAAACAGGTAGTAGTCTTTTGTTGCAAGAGAGGGGTATTTCCATGCTGTGAACTGGATGTGAATACCATATGATTGTTTTTAGAGACAGCCATTTCACCTTGCACTGAAATTTTTGCTGAAGACTGCCTTCATGTAACAACCCTTCTTTCTAGTTACAGACCATAGGATTCTTAGAAGCTGGAAATCCAGCAGAGAAGGCATTTGTGGTAGAATTAGGTATTGAAGCTTACGGAGTGTTGAATCCACCAAAACAACCCTAGAAAAGAGCTGAAAAAAAGTAACAAATAACAGACTGTGTTTAATTACCAGGCTATAAACCTTAGCATGCAGTACTTAAACGTGGAGGAACAAATTTTCTAACAGGCTGGTGCTATTGTGTAAGGATGGATTTGAGCCAAACTCCCAGATCTGAAACCCTATGAACTTCAACCAGCCCAGGCCAGTCCTTGGCTTAGGTTCATCTCAAACATTGCAAGCACAGAAAAGATATTTGAACATTCAGAGTAGCAACTGGAGATCCAAAAAGGGAAGGTTCATGCATAATCTGTTCATTATTTGCACACACAAGGAGCGTATCAGTGCCAATATGAACATTTGTCCCCTTGATCATTATGAGAACATTTTTAGAGCATCTTTGAAAACACACTGCAGCGTAGCACAAAAGGAATGTTTCTGGCATGTATCCTCAGTACCTGAACTGGTTACTAACTGATCTCTTTAGTGGGAAGAGCTTTATACGGCTTCTCTAGTTTTGCCCAAATGATGAATCTCTTGTGCATTGTCCTCACCTCTGTGGTCCCCTCTGACAGCCCTTTCCTGTAACGACAGCTGACGTTGGGTTCCTGGGTGGCATGGTGGATGCCTGCTCGGAGGGTGACTGGTTTGTTACAGGTTTAAGCAATACTGGCCTTCTGAGTGGGGACTGAAGTGGGTAGATTTCAACACGCTGTCAGTTATATATACCCAGACCAACTGGAGAGATGTGCTAGTTTTAATAAGCATTGTGTTCATTTATTTGCTTTCTCTTTTGCAGCAGAGTAAACTCTGGTTTCCTCTGAGTTGTGCAGCTGCTGTGAATGGTAATAAGACAGCAGCGTCAGTCACAGTAGTGCTGTGATGGAGACACGCGTCCTGCACTTGCTGCATCTGAGGGTTGTGTCTGGAGCTGGGGAGGGGAAAAGTTTAATATGAAAATGAACTACATGCAATTACCAATTTACGGGGAAGCTCGTAAGGCATCCAGCTGGTGGTGGCACTGGGTTGTTAAAAGTGTTGTTCTGGAGAAACTAGAAGAAGGAGTAAAAAAAATGCACATGTGCGCTATTCAGATAGCAGAACTTGTCAGAGCATCCTAAAATACTTCCTATTAATAAGAATATATTCTCTAACTTTTACATCAAATGTACTTTGTGTTTCCTTTGGAGAAACCTGAATAAGCATTTACCCCCAAGGTAGCAGCACCGGTGCAAGAGATGCAGGGACACTCGGAGATATGAATATTTCATGGTTCTGTGACAGCTGTCATCAGAGCATGCTGCCTCCTTCAGCTGAGCTGTCTGTATGAAACTGATGTGTGGTTTACGCCAGTTTGCTTGACTGCAGTGTGGGACCTGCCAAGATCCATCATGTGAGCAGCTGCAGCAAGCTGTAGATGATATTAAATCAGGTAGAAGATGACTGTGCAGTTCCGTGCTGGCAGAAGTGGAGTGGTGTGGGTCCATCCCCTTCTCAGTCAGGTGTGGAGTGGCGAGGAGCCTGTGGGTTTTGTCTTGAGACCAGGTGTCATGGTACTGTCACAGGTGCAGATGGTCATAGGAATAAATCATGACAAATACTGTGGTACAACTCCAGCTTGTCCTGACTTCACCGTTTTCCATCTCTCTGCACTTCTTTAGAATTATGTGGTAAAAGCTAAATGCTGTAAGTCTAGGCCTAGAAATGAAGATTTTTTTTTTTTGAGCAGTTAGCACAAAAATGAAAAGGGGTAACCCTGTACCCAGATTGCCATTATTAAGCAGGAGAGCTCTCCAAACAGGGAAGGCTGTTAATGGTGTGTATGCGATATTCCAGGCAGACACAGGGTGCAGGCACTCGGCAGTGTTACGCTGTTCCTCTTCCAAAGCCAGCATTTACCTGTGCTGCATGTACTGCATAGAGATCTCACAGCGGGTTGTTTCCCAGTTTGCTCTCCCAGATATGCTCCACACACCTGACGACACCAGTACCATGAACTTGAAAGCTCCAAGAGACATCCAGGCTCTGTTATGCTGTGGCTTCGGAGATCCCTCTTATCCCAGGGAGTTCACTGGCAGGCTTGCTTGAGCTAAATTGGAAGCTTTGTCCTTAGTCTAGTCAACTATAATTCTTCCTCTTTTTAATGTAATTTGATCATAAGCTTCTATAATATATCAGACATAAAAATCTGCGCTGTATAGCCCTACAAGGTTAACACACACACGACAGGTTATTGAAACAAGCTGCTGAGAGAGCTTTGTCGTAATATCTATGTACCAAACGTGTCTCTGACTCACACCCCCCACATACCCCCTGCAGTGGTTTTGTAAATCAGGGCAATGTTTAGACTACTATTATCTGCTACATATTTCTAAGGCGTTGCCAAACAAAAAGCTAAATTTAAAAACTAGTACTTTTGTTGTCAGGGATTCCGAAGGAACATGTGTCAGCAATTTTAGGCCTAGTGGCTGCATAATTCTAAAGTATACTTCGTATTATAGGTGCTCTTGGATGGTAAAAACGGAGACATTTCTATTAGCTGTTTGAGTTACGTTTACTGTCACTGCTTTTTGATTATTAGTATCACTTCAAGAATTTGTATTGAATGGGAAAAAAAGTGCACAGAAACTCTTTTTTTGTTTGTGTGTATGACAAAGTTGTTGTGTCGAAAGAGAAAAATTCCTTTAATGGTTTGATTTCGCTTGTGTGCTCATATGGGCAGCCATTGGGTCCGGCACATATACTCTGTCTTTATTTGCTTCATCGTGTGTTGCCTTCATCTGTGAGTCAGTTTGCCTTCTGCCTAATGATATTTTATTTCTCTAAATTGTTTGATTAGGTGAGGGAATGGGGAAATAGACTGTGGCTTTGGATGTAGAAAACGAGACAGGGAGACAGACTCTCTGATGCAAGGGAGGGAAGTGTGTTTGAACCTCAGATCTGTCCTACGTCGTAGGGTCAGTGTAACTGAGCTGGTATGATGGTAGGAGTTTTCCCAGCTCTCACCTGGGTCATATATCTGTATCAATATGTAGCCCAGTTGCTCCCAGGCTTGCTAACTTTTTAACTGTCTGAGATATACCTTGGAGGTACACCGAATGGCAGTCTGACCTTCTGTCGACAAGGATGGCTTTCCTCCAGAAGTAGTTGTCTTTAGTATACCTTAAGAATAAACCACTACTGCCTAGTTCCTTATCTAAAATAATTATCTTTAAACTGTTTCGTAGTGGTTTTATTCCCATTCATGGATGGAGGTAAGTATTTTCACTTAACGTAATTCTGAAATGAATGTTTGGCAGTAGGATTATTTCAGAACTTAATTTTTGGACAGAGACTTTTGAGGAAATCTGATGAGGGAGACTTTGAATGTATTCTGCGTGATTTCTTCAGCTTAGCACAGTCAGAGTATGGTATCTCATACTGCTGTAAACTTGGCTAGTTATATCACGGTGAAGGCTTAGGCTTGTATGTTTTCAGTTACTGAAAGAGGCTGTACCTACCTTAAACATGTGGGTTTGCTCATGGCCGTGTGTCACCAGCACTGGTGGCTGTCATTTAGTTGTCTAGCAGCTGTGCCACTGCGTTTCTCTTGCCCACTGTCACTTCTGCAGCTGTATCCAGCCCTGAAGCATGGTGGATCTGGGCCAGTGATTCATTTCCAGTCTGTGTTATGAATGTGCAAGATTTTTACAGTCAGTCATCTGTAGCAATTGAGCTGTAGATGCATAAGTCCATCCTGTTAGTTCTTTGGTGATAAACAATAGGATTCTAGGTGATACCCTGCACTCTGCCATCACTGATCTGAACCTAGCTGTAGTAATCACTGCCTTCTGTTTCGTCTCAGGATAATGGAAAGATGAATCGGTTACCGCCTTGCTACCTTAGTTTTTTAATAAAGGCCTCCCCCAGGTTACTGTAGCAGCGTCAGCTCAGCGCTCCCGTTGTCCTGCCCTCTCTTGAGATGACTTGGTGGCTGTCAGCGCTTTTCAGTGCTGCGTCTGTGGGCTGAGACTCTGAGGTTTGTAGCCAGTTTATACCGATCAGCAGGCTGTAGCCATGGACCTTGCATAGACTCATGTTGCTGTGTGATGAGTCAGATCATCTCACTGATCCGGCTGCAAATTAACTCTAAAAATATGCTGACGTGTCAGGTTTCTATCAACTCTGAAAGGGCCCCACCACACGTGCTGCTGTGACATATCCTGTGTCTCATCACCAAGGAGAACAGCTTGGTCCTGTGTGTTCCTCACTGTCCCTGCAGCCCTGAGTACGTGAGGTGGTGTTACACTGAGAGTCTTCTGGGTAGAGACAAGAGCACAGGGAAGGAGGAGCCGCTATCAGGGAAAAGGTGCCTGTTGCTTTATGAACCGTTCTGGTGAAGAGTGGAGTGAGCAGATCAAGTCAAAGGGCTGTGCTTGCTGTCATTGTCGTCTCTGCTTCCGGACATTTGACCCTGCCTGGACAGCTGGTCTTGGGCCAACCGAGAAAAGGGCCATCACTGTTGTGACTCAGAATCAGTGTCGCTGAAATCATTAGTTAAGCCAGCACAACCCATGGGGAGTCCAAGATCAAGATTTTTTTGTTGGTATTTTTTCCCCTAACTGGGCTAATGGCTCATGAACTTACTGTCATCTTAGTTTGTAGTAAATGGAATTAAATTTATGTACTGAACATCAGTTGCTCTCCCTGGCTTTTTTAGGACGAATTCTGGACTTGAAGACTGGAACAGTAAAGAAAGAGGGTCAGCAGTCCTCAATGAGAATGTGCATGGGATCAAGGCGCTCTTTCATTTGCAGGATGAGGTACACATTTACCTTGTATTCCTGTGGTGGTTCCAGGCCGCTCTCAGATTAGACTTCAGATATTTTGTTGCACTAATTTGACCTTGCTTAAAAAATGAACCTGTAATGACACACTCCCATTAAACATTTCCAGAGTGCTTGCTTGTGTAACTGGAGTAAAACTGAAACCTGTTTTCCTTTATGATTAATGACAAACCAGCACCTCTTTTGTGTGTTGCAGTTATTTTTATCAGTGTGGGATGTGGGATGCTTTCCCCAGAGAACTTCATGACAGCTTCACCCCTGGAATGCAAGCCATTGTCTCTTCTAGTCAAATTATTCGAATCAATACTTTGGGAACAAAGCTTTCGCAAGTGTAATGAAAGCCCAACTCTGTGTATTTTTTCAGCAAACCAGTAATATTAAAAGAATCCTGAAGACAAACAGGAATTCAGTTGCAAACTTGCCAGCTATGTAGGAATTAACCTAAGCCTGGTATGAATTAACCAGATGTCAGCTAGTTGATGCTAGATAAATGAGTAATTGTTAAAGGGTTTTTATTTTGCAATTTTCCAATTTCTCCTGCGTTGCTTGGGCTTCTTGAAAGATATCTGCCTGCCCAGTGCTTCTGACTGGGGCCTGTGGGCACTTTGGTTGTTGTAGTGGTAGCAGGATAAAATGCCTGTTGCTATTGCAATGGATTTCTCCCTGTGTGGTTGGGGGGGAAAGTACATAATTACATCTACAGCCTATATCCAATATGCGTGTTGAAAACAGATGGTGCAAAATTTATTATGAAATGCAACATGCAAAGCAAAATATTTGACACATTAGAACAGATGTCTGTACTTTGGTTATGTGGTGGATTTTCTTCCAGTCACGTGAGGAAGCTGAATGTATGGCTCTTGGGTGCCTTTGTAAGGCGTTTATATACTTCATACCTGCAAGATTAGACTTCAAAGCCATAGTTCCTTTTCCCCACTTAACCCGGGAGAAAGAAATACAACCTGGCAGAGGGACGCTTGGAACATTGCGCTCTCTTCCAAGCTGCACATAGTGGTCTCGTGAGGAGAGCTTCTTTGTACGAAGAAAACCGGGCCTAATGCCCTGTTTACAGTTGTTCCCCAGCTTTAAAACAACACGCCAGATTGCAGTTATTTCCTAGCACCCTGATTTTGTAAACTCCAGTGCATGAGAGTAATTATGTACATGCCAGTAGCCCCATTGTTTTTGTAATTCTAAATCTTATTTGAATTATTCATTCCTTCTCCTTGGAAGTGACTGGTATTAAAACGAAAAAAAAAAGAAGAAAAAGAATTAAAAAAAGCCTTGTGGGATAAACGAGCCTCAAATAGTGTGAAGTTTCCTTGTGATTATTTTCTTCATTGTTATTGTTCTTTTTTCCATTGAAAACGAACTGGTTTTACCCTTCAAACTATTTACTTAGCTTCAAGTTATACAATTAGGCATAGTTAGAAATATATACATACAAAATATACAAGAACAAGTGTTAAACCAAAGTTACTTGACAGTGTAAATAGTCTGTTCTTGCAAACATTAGTATCTACTAACATTGTGGCTGGGGTGTGGCAGTCAAAATGCTCTGTCCAGGGAAGATACTGGAACACTGAGATTGTTTTGTGTGGATATATGGGGGCCTGACCTAAATTCTTCTCCAGTTTCCACCCTTGTTTTATAGTATTTTGAAGGGTATCTATTCTTTAGTGATTCATGGAATATCTATTTCAAATAGTCTTTAGGTTTGGGGGGGTGAGAGGGAATCTTTTCGTAGTCTCTTCTGTTTTTCTTTATAAAATAAAATAGTTGCAGAACACCCAAAAAGCTCAGCCTGTGGAAGCAACAAGATCTAAGAAATCATGAACTTGTGACTTTGTCAGAAATAAAGATCCGTTATTGTCTACTTATATATACTAATAAAGATCTTAAAATGCATGTTCATCTTAGGTATTTGTATTACTTTTTGAGCCCTTTCACATGTTAATTTACTTCTAGGTGTGGAAATGCTCCTCTGGATCATTTGCCTCTGAACAGAATAACTACCATGAGAAAAAGATACAGGTATTATTACTTAATTTACCGCAACAGTTAGTTGCCCTAAGTGCTCTCATTTTCCACTGGGCTAATGCTCAAGCAGGGAGTACTACCTGGACAAACATCTCCATTAGCACACAGTGTAAAATAGCACTCGGTCTCAGGAGAGGAGAACTCTCCACTAAATTCAGCTGTGGCAGAGTTACTGGATCTTTTTGCAAGACTTGTGGAAGTCACTCAACTTCTTTGTCTTAACCAGCTCTGAAATAAGCTTCAGCGTCTTTCTTCAAGAAGTACTATGGAAAACAAGTAAGATTTGAAGAGCTTTGTAATGGAGCTGACCTTGTACAGAACTCTGGGTTGATGGTTGTTTCTAGCTTACAACAATCAGTAAATCAGTAGTAGCAGTGTGAAAACATAAAGCTATTCTGCGTGTCAGTCAACATGATATTTTTGTGTTTCCTTTCATATAGGAATGGCCTTGGCCCAGTAAAAGAAGGCGAAGCACAGTATGCTGTTGTCCATTGCACTGGCTATATCAAGGCTTGGCCACCAGCAGGTGTGTATCTATCTCATTGAACTATCTGCAAGACAGCTGAAAACCTGGTTTGGGATCCCTTTGCTGGTACAAAATCAGGCTGAATTTTCAGTGGGGTAGCCCATTCAGTCTCATCTTGAAAAGCTTTTGATATCAAGAAGTGAGCTGATGTTACTCACTCTGGGCCTCTCTGGTTTTCCACGTGAAACCCTTCTCAGTTTCATTGGCACAGAGCTGTAGAAGCTGTCAGTAATGTGGGATTACAGCAACTGGGACCAAAAGTTATCAATCTGATAAAGCAGACATACAAAATGGCCTGACTTTAAGAAGGTAAACACAAAGTATTTGTACCTCTAGGAAACACCAACTAGTGCTTTTATATTTAAATACTGAATTGCAAGCACCTGTCTATGAAAATGTAATTTCAATTTCAACGCATAGGTCTTCAAGGTGGTGGTGTTAGTGGAGAATGTTCAGTGTTTGTGAGTTCTGTTTTGAGGCTGTTTTTCTGGGAAACAAGTCTTGACATATTGCTTTGAACTGCAGAGAAAAACATTTCACTACTGTAACTCAGTATTACATATGGGAATATTTACCTTTGAAAAGTTCGAAGAGGAGACAGTGGAGCTCATCCAGACGTGATCATGAACTGGGTTAGTTGACCTTGGCGTTTGCAGCAGTTGAGGAGGCTGTTTGCAATATGACAGCGCCTGCTGGCATGAATCAAATCATCAGTTGTCCTGCCCTTTTGCGGTTGGATACCGCAAGCATAAATTGCATTTGTCCAGCGATTATGAATGCTAAGAGGTGGTTTGCAGCAAGTCTGTGCAGTGGTGTGCAGACACCAGCATGCAGATGTGAACTTCTTGTTGATTGCCTGCTGAATTGCAGTTTCGGAAGAAGAGGAAAAGCTCCACTCTATTAAATCCTATTAGCAACAATACTTCAGTGTGCTGTATGGGTCAAAATGTTTCAATTTCATCTCTGTCTCCAAAGAGTAAGATCACAATGTGTGTAAATTGCTCTATGAAAGTTAGTGGCTTTGGGTTTATTTGTTTTCTTCCACAGAGAGAGAAACTTTCTTGTCGGCAATTCCAAACATAATTGAATTCAGCCTGGACACACGGGATCTTTGAATGCCCAGCTGCCAGGTGTCACATTGTAAGATCCAGTTTACATTAGTGAGGTGTTTCCCTGTCTCCAGCTCTTCCAATACCTCGCTGCTCTCCCGTGTTTAACAACCTCTCTAATTTCCAGTCCCCGTTAGTTTATGGAAAGTTTGTGTGAGTGTATTCACGGCCTGTATTTCACTGAAGGTCAAGTGGGAGTTTTCCTGCCTTGTGTCTCTGGCTCTCTCTAGTGTTGCGGTGCGTTTCCAGAAGAAGGTCATACCCTGTCAGCCTTGGCCTTGCACAGTTAAACCAGCCCGCTTCTTCTGATCTCCATTCTCACCTATTCGTTATCCTTGTGTCTTCTCTGCACGTGTTCGTGTTTTCAACTAACTTTTCAAAATGTGGGTCACTGGCACTATACACTCTTGTTCCAAATGAGATTCTAATGATGTATAATGAAAATTACATTTCCTATCCTGACTGGCAGTATACGACATAGCATACTTCTCTTGTGTATAGGGCATTCTGCTGGCATCCTAAATCACCTGATGTATATACCAGGCTGGCTTTTTCTCAGTTGTCAACTCAAGATCTTCCAGTTCATAGCAAAAATAGCTTTGAACTGTGTGATCTTTCAATTAGTAATACGAAGTTTCGTCCCATTTCTGTTGCTGTAGTTTGTGACTGTTATTAGTCCCCAAGTGCATGTTTATGCATTTAGTAATGTTGAATTTCATCCCATTTCTGTTACTCCACTCCTCAAAATCACTTGGTGCTCCCTTATGATATCCCAGTGCTCTTCCACATTGTTAATGCCTCCAAACTATAGCACAATCCTAAGGGATGTTTTCGATTTTGATAGCCTTATGTGGAATTTCAGTGGCCTTTTATGTTACCATCCAAATTTTTCCTCATAATATTCATGCCTGAGTGCCTTTTTCAGGGCATATAGTACTGAATTGGAGCCAATTTCATGAGTGTTTATTTGCCCTCCCAGTCTTCCCCACTTTATGTTGGTGATTGTCCTGAATCCATTGACTTTTGGAGTTGAATGGGAATATCCATGGGCCGAATTGGTTCCCAGTACGTTTGGGTAAATAAGTGGCAACATTACTGCATTTGTTCTCATTTCCAATGGTAATTCAACCATAATCTGCAAAGCAAATGAAATAACTGCAGCAGTAATTGAATTTGCTAAGGCTTTTCTACCCTGTAATAAAATTACTTTTGTTCAAATCAGTTAGAGAGTAGCAAGCCCCTGGCCTTTGCATCGTCTGTGGATTCTTGGGAATAAATGGGTTTGTGCTGTATTGCAGCTGTTTAAAAATTCAGCTATGGAAAGGATCATTTTCATTTATTTTTCAGTTGCTGGGTGGACACTCTAATATAAACTCCATATCCTTTTCTTTCAGAGCATACAGTGTGGCACGGGTATTATACAACTAATATACAACACATAAAACATACTTTCATGAACAAAATAACAAATATTTAGCAAATGCACTTAAACTGTACTTAATCTAATTTGTTTAGCACCTGGTATTTTCTCTTTCTGGATTGTATTGCATTGTCTGTGGCCAATGTGTTAATTTTTTTTAATCCCCCACAGAGTATAACACAATCAGTATTCATACAGAAATACCAAGGAAAGAACTGCTCTGTGATCATTCTTGGTGTGATAGACTATCAGGTTTGACAACATTGCTGCTGCTGTGAGTTGTCTATGCTAAATCTCTTAAGTAATTCAGATACTTTAAAGAGGTGAAAACAAATGACAGCTGGCATCAGTATGGTGGCACATTTTAAGGACTGGTGTTGGTGGTTGTTGTTTTTTTTCGAGATCCAAAGTAGAAAGCAAATTCCCTTGTAGCACAGGTCTGTGGTCAGCATGAACACGCTTTTGCACATCTGCCTGACTTTTTTTTTTTTTCTTTCTTAATGGAGCAGCAAGGCTTACTTATTGGCAGACTGCCTTTAGCCCCGTTTTCACTGAGAAATTGGAGAGAAAACACAGGAAAGATCATGCCTCGTCCTCCGCACGGAACTGAGTTCGGTCATGCAGGACCCGTGGGCAGCCCCTGCCCCTCCCAGGTTCCCCACCAGAGCAGCCCCGGGAGTGCTGCAGCCGGTGCTCGCTCTGGGTCCGTGGAAAAGGAGCTCTTGGCCGTTCCCGGACTGCAGTGTGTTTGCTTCTGGGTGAACGAGCCATGGAGAATGGACAGAGCTGCTTTGAGGAGCGGGTCCATTCGGGCTGGGTTTGTTGATGGTCCGTGCATTTTCCTCCATTGTGCCTGCAAGAGAAGGGTAAAACTAAGTGCAAGTACAAAGCCCACCATGGGATACATGCATGCTTATATGCCTGTAAATTCTGTGTTGGACTCAAGTAGACTCTCTGCATCAGGGTAAACATCGTGTGGAAGTCAGAGGAAAAGGAGTCAGATATTTCAGATCAACGTTCCAACCAGTTACATTGTTTGTGTCTTATGTGGAGCGTATGTTAGACTGAATAACGCCAATGCAGTGTTGGATTATTTTGAATGAGGTAAAAAGACCCCTTGTTTGAAACTGGCTGGGCACCAGTTCCAGCCTTTGTCCCCTCGTTGCCGGTGAAGCAGCTTGTGATCCTTAGCCTAGGCAATGCTACAAGTTCATAACCGCTCACAACACTGGGAAATGCTGACCTCCCCCTGATCATTCCGTTTTCAACTTAAGCAAGCATTTGCTTTGCTTCTGTTTTTTTCCCTCTCTGAGCATCTCATTCCTGGAAGGAAATGAATCTTATGTGGTCCATATGATATTTTCCTAATAGTTCTTTTTCATGCCGTAACAATTGATGGAAAATATTTGGTGGAGGGAGAAGATACAGTCTGTCAGGATGTTGCTGGTTTTCTGTAAATCAAAGCCAGGGCCTGCAGAAAAACACATAGTGAAAAGAAGGCTTAGACAGATACTTATTTGGAAAACTTCAAATAAAAAGTCCCAGAATAATGCTAAATTCAGATAATGTTGAAATCTTTTTTTTTTCTCCTTAGTTTTTTATCTTAAAAAAGAAACATTTTAGTCTTCCAAGTCAGACTTACGGTAACGTCTTAACCACAGCATGCCAAAGCTGTTAGGTTATTTTAAAGTTTTTGGCCAGAATCTGGACATTTGTGCAAAGTGTTCCCTCATCCAATACAAAACAAAATAGTTGCTTGAATATGCTTTGCAGTGCTGTCATTTTTAGGTTTTGTTGGGATTTTTCACGAGATTTTTCCTTGGTATGCTGTAAACATCCACAGCCTTTTTTTGTGAAAGCCTTTTTCCATTGTTGTGTATGGGAGACAAAGTCACACGGTGCCGTTTCGTGCACAGGCGAGTAACTGTCTGTAATGGTTCTGATGGAGATAGGCATTAACAGGGGATTGCGAGTGACCACTGGACACTTAAATTACGTCCTTTTAAAGGCTCAGAAATAATTTGTTTTTGAGTGTCGAGAAGTAAAACCACAAATCCACTAACGTGATTCTGTGTCTTGCAGAAAATGTGGGGTGGAAGGATAGAGAAAGAAGGCAGAAAATGAAGCTGTTCTGTTGTTAGAGCCAGCTAGAGGCTCATTGGGAAAACTAAAGAGTTCCTTATGTCCACACAAGCACATGTCATTACCCTGTGGGAAACTGTTTGCTGGCATAAAGGACACTTGGAAATTAAATATAACCTCTTAACGGCACAGCATTCTATTTGTGATGCTCAGTTGCAGGCTTAGCTTTGCCAATTGTTGATATTAACTTGAACAAGCATAGCACTATATTTATTATTCAAGAAGAGCATATATTTGTTGTAGAGAAATAAAGCCTTTCACAGGGTTACGTGTAAAGAATGTGAATAACTAATGTATGTTTATTTTGTTGATGCCCCCTAAGGATCAGTTTCATGGCTGCTTTCCTCGAGGCTTTTGCAGCTCTCTTCGGAGATACTGATGGTACTTAGTGACGTTAAGGAGCAGTGTGACATTGTGGTAAGAGCTGGACAAAGCAGTGTTAAGTGCAGTGCATGTATCTTTATGCACGTGCCCATACTGTAGTATGTTCAACAGGAAGTATGCTAAAGCATGAGTAAATCTCTCTAGGAATGCGTCTCATGTATAAGCACACCCACAGCTGGAACTTTGTAACCATCAGCAGGAGAGTGAAGGAAGCAATTTCCCGCTGTGGAATGCTGTCAGTAACAGCACCTACACTGCAGGTGAGCAGCAATCGCTTTGGTGTATTTTTACTCTAGATACATTTAGGGAAAGGTTAGCAATTCATTGGGCCACGTATTGATTAATTCTGGGCAGACTGTTTTTTATTCATAGGGTGTCTTGTGGGATAACTCAACTAATACATTTTCCAGTATGTTAATACAGACCAAATATAATCCATCTTGGGGGGAGAAAAAAAAGGTGAAAATTAGAACAACAGCCTCCCTTGCCAACAGAGTGACATCAAGAAATGATGTTCCTTAGCTAGGTTTAATTTTGGAGATTGTTTATGTTGCTTTCAGTTTATTTGGGCAGTAGCAAGCATGGACCAGGTTCCTAAAAAGGAAAGCGTTGTTGAAAGCTGCAGAAAGAAGATGGTGCGAAGTGGAAGCCATCCAGCTGAGTGTCTTTGCTGTGTGTTGCAATACGCTGTGCCTCTAAGGAAATGATTGAAAAATCTTTTGAAGTCAAGGGAAAATACTTTAAATTTATCCTTCTCAAATCGAAAGCTCTATTTTAAAGGGACCTTTTGGTTAAGGTTATGCAACTAGAATGCCTGGAATTATTTCCTTGAAACAGCATTTAGGCTCCTGTGTTTAAGTGGTCAAATTCTCAGAAGCACGAGACATCCACCAAGAAAATCCTCTGAAGGTGATAGGACCTAGAATTGCTCACCATCTTTGAAACCAGACCGCCTGTACTGAGCTGCCTGAATGTAACTGTGGTTGCTCCAGGCACCAGCTTTTAAAATGTTTGTTGTTTTGGCTGATGGTTGAGCTTGAAGGTTTGTCCTGGTGTGGCATTCAGGACTGAGGACCGAGAGAATCCTCATCCATCTCACAGAGAGATGCAGTCCCTGCTGCCATCTTCCAGCCAAAGTGTTAGGTCAGCTCTTCTGTGGCTCCAGGGCTTTCTTTCCTCCCATGGCTGTTTTTGTACACTGCTGCATTTCTTTTGCAGTGGAGTCAGCATCCTCATGCTTCATCCTAAGCTGTTGCACTGTTTAGTTTGTCCTGCTCTCAGTTCACATCTCCAGTCACCACTTTGTAAGGTGAAACTGCTAGATTCCAGTTATCATCCCCTGCAAACTGGACACAATTCTCAGTTAACCATTTTCTACCTATTTAAATTTAAAATTGATGGTGTGGAGGAGTCTAGGTTTAGTTTTGGGAGCTCACCCTTCTGGGCAGCCCACATGTATGGGAGCAGATAGCAGCCATGTGTCTGCCAAAATTTTGTGTAAAGTGGACACAATTTTGAGTAGATTTGTTTGCTGCTGCTTTTCCAGGGTGATTTTCGCTCTTTTTCTCAAGAGGCAGCCAAATTCAGTTCCTTTGCCTATTGGAGCTGTCATTAGCTAATAACTAAGTCTTGTGTTGAAGGAATAACTGCGTGTAAACACAGCAAGGAAGGAAAACAAAATAATTCTGTAATATGAATCTCTTGACTGTAGTTCCATGTCAGTGGTTTATGCTCTCCGTGGTATGCTTGGTGTCTCAGCACGTGGGGCTGATTTGTGTTTGGGACCTTGTTTGTGGTTTGCCTCGTGTAGCGGAACAGAGACTGGAAGAGCAGTGTGTGAAATACCGAAACAAGGCTTTGTAATTTTAACTGCTTGAAGGAACACTCTAGGCAGTGCAGAACAGGCCCCCAGGGAGCATCAGTGCAGGTTGTCTTCATTGCAAGGATGTTCTAAATCAGGTGAAGGATCTTGAGTGAAAGTTTGGGTCCCTGGTAACCTGCAGAAGGACCTTTATCGGAAACACAACATAATGTTTAATTGCAAAATAACATGTGTCAGTTCCACCCAATGTTATTTTTAACTTACGTGCTTAATGATGGATTTCTTACAATGTGCTCCGAAGGTCACATACTGCCACCTTGATCCTCTCATACAGCTTCTAATACAATGTTTCAGTGGAGTATCCCGGCGTTGGGTGAGGGGTATCACAAAGGTGTGGAAGCTAAGGAGTTACATTTATATCTCTGGATAGCAGGATCATTGTGTAGAAGACAAGGGGGTTTTGCCCAGCTGTTGTAGTGTGTGATGTTGAAATTGGTACTGCACCTCAATTTCCCACTTGATAGAAGGAACAATAATGCACCTCCTTTGTAAAGCTCTTGAGATCCCCTGATAAAATCCTAGTTATCTATCGGGGGCTGCAAATGAAGTTACACCCCCAAAAATTGTAAATTCCATTGCAAATAAAGTTAGAATATATATAAAAAAATATGGGTTTTTTTCTTTCATACCTTGTATATTTTATATTATTGTATAGCTCAATGGGAACTGGAAAATACCCTTAGAGTGCTATTTAGAAGCTGATTGTCAGATAAGATTAAATTATTTTGATACAAAGTAACTTCCTTCAGAGACTACCTCGGTTCATTCAGCAGCATTTATAGTCATTTTTCAGAGGTGTCATTTAAGAAAGTTGTATGCTGTCATCCTCTGCACTGTCCAAAGATTGGCTTACAGTAGGAATTACAAATTTTGAGAATAAAGTGGCTGTTGTTTCATAATTTGTAACGGCTTTGCAATTAATTTCATTAATGCTTTAAAGTGCCTCTTAAATGATTCACTGCCTGCTGTGACTGAATTCCTTGAAAAGCCTTGTGAAAGAGTTTACAAATCACTTAAAAGAAGTCAGCGGTGTCACTCTTGGAAGATGTTTTGTCAAGTCTTTCATAGGAAATTGGTATCTCAAAGCTGGAGTTGGGAAATGGCCTTAACTAAAAGCTTAGCCAACTAGCAAGTAAACAGCGCTAATCTGAGTGTTCCTATTTGTGAAACACCGAGATGGAAAACAGTACACATGTATGTTTTGAAATTATTCCTGTGTTTATAATAGTTACTCATGTTACACAACTGAAACAAGGGCTGTTAGCGAGGCGTCCGCATTTTTTCAATCTTTCAACGCAATGACCCAGATTTAGTCCATTATAGAAAAAAGTAAAACCGGCTGTTAAAGAAGAGCATGAAGTTCATGAATAATCTAGGCTGTGCCTTGTTTTTAAGGCTCGTTATAACACAGTATTCACAAAGAAAACTGAACATAGTGTGCATTCACTGACCATATGAAGTGACCCCATGGTTCCAGTAACGTGCGGTGGAGCAGTACTCATGGAAATGTTACTGTCTGTCTTGGTGTGTAATGAAATTTTTGTATCCACTTTGTCTTCGGCAGCCAAAATTGCTGCTGCGGGTACTGTGTATGCACGTGAAGTATGTCGGATCAAGCACGACTGAGAAAAATCGTCTGATCTGAACCCAGGGATAATGCCCGAATCCTAGAGAAGGCAAGAAGGTTATTCTGTATGATTCAGGGCATCTAGAATTGTGCAGAACCAGGCCAGCAGCATCTCTGCTCATCCAGATTTCCTTATTATAACAGTATTTGTTATCTTTTAATCTAGGAATGACTATACCAGAAGAAGACGCTGATGTCGGACAAGGTAGTAAATACTGCCTCGTGGCAATAGGAAGACTTCAGGTAATGCAAGTTTTTCCTTATATAAACTCTTCTTCAAACATAATCAGTCTTGTGCTTTAGTTTTAAGGCATTTGCACGAAGTTCTGGTACTAGACTTTAACTTTTAACATGTCTCCAAAACAGGAAGCGCCTTGATGTTGGTGTGCAGCCAGTGATTTATAGAACTATAGAATCATAGAACGGTTTGGTTTGGAAGAGACCTTAAAGATCATCTAGTTCCAACTGCCCTGCCATGAGCAGGAATTGTTTAGAACATGTCAACAGAGCAAGATGAAAATGTGATTTTGGTGCATATGTGTATTTAACCCAACAAGAGCAGCCAAGATGCTCCTGGAACATGAGCATGTACAGACCTGCTATTCTGGAGTGTGCATAGGGCTGGGACATTCTAGATTGTGAGAAATGTAGTAGTACGGGTGCTGCAGATGGTAGGTTAAAGGGGCTCCCAAAGTCAGTGACGTGCTCCCTGCAATTCTTTGATTCATTCTCTCTCTCTGGCTAATCAGCTACTTGAAAAACTGTGATTGCAGGAGTTATTCTGCAAATGGCAAAGATAAGGCAGTGAAGAGGCACTTCACAAATAATAGTTTTATTCTCAGGGTGTATTGTAGTGTGCATTCAGATGTGATGTCAGCCGAGGGAACTGTGAGAATAAAATTTTACCTCTTTTTTGTCCAGACGGTTGCAATTGATGTATTACATTTTTTTCCTTTGTCTGTTGCTGATGAGGGTTCTGAGCGGGAGCTAGAGCAGTCATAGTAAATCTCCTTCACTGCAGCAGGGAGGCTCATTTTTATCTTCCCAGTCTGGGAATTCTGCCATGGGTGAACGTGTTTGAGCCTCCTGCATGATCTCCTGTTGGCCTGCACTCATTGCCATCTGCTAGGATGGCATCGCTCCTTCTGACGAGGTAGAACGACCCTTTCATTAGAGCACAGGTGCCAAACCCAGCTTATTTGAGGTGAACAGCCTGCACGGTGCCGCAAGTGTTGGCGCTTCTGCAGAGCATGTCTCTGGTGTGACGGCAGAGCTACAAAAGTATTGCATGATGGCTTTTAGGTTAATCATTCTTTTATAATCAGTGGTAATACATTCCACTGATGGAGAGAAGAAAGTTACGGGGATTCATATGTTACAGCTGCCAAAGAAAGACGATTTCTGAGAAAATCACGTTAGTAACATGTGGAGTGTCAAAACATCTGTTGCGTTAGGAGAGCTAGCAGGGTATGTGAGGAAGGGCAAGAGGAGGCTCTGGGGATGGGTTCAATCACAAAGGAATCAAGGCGTGCAAATTAAAAACTTGTTCTCTAACAGCAAATTGAAATCTTGCGTACAGTTAACTGGCTAATCTGCTTCAAGACAGCACAAAAATGAGATTTCGCTCCTTTTGCATTGGGACCTTGTTAACAGAGATAGCTCTGGAAGTTGTAAGAAAAACAACGGTCTCATCTGTAGTCCCAGTGGGAACGTATGGATATGAAGTGGCCTGAATGCACAGGTTTCAGGCAGAGAGCTGGAAATGCATCATTCTCTGATGAGATCATTTATCGGAGGACGGTGTTTTTTCATTATGAACAGCCACTTGCTGGCCAAATATCACCTACCTCAGCCTCTGGAGAACTTTGTTCAGGTTCTCTGGGTGTTTCAGGTGAGGTTCATCTCACCTGAATGGAAGTTGAGTGTTTAGTCTAAGCTGGTCCTGTTGGATGTGTCTACAGATAATGACTTGGCCTATTCAAGAAATTGACCTTCCTGTCTTAAAATGGGTGGGCTGAATTGTCCTCTGCAAGTCTCTCATTTTTGGTTGACAAAGGCAGGAACCAAGATGTCCGACTTCAATGTGGTGCCACAAAGTGAGATGAATCCAACTGTACTTATATCCTTGCTGTATCCCTCCTTTTTGAGAGCTTCTGGTGTATTTGTTTTCCTGCTGTGTTGTTAAGCCTAGGTAGGTGCCATGGGGTGAGATATTTGCCCTGAAAACTACAGTAATGGCTGTTCTGTGTCATTTATGCGTGCTCTTCGTTTATGTATGACTTCCTTCAGTAGGCAGCACTCTGCCAACAGATACGGTTCTTCAGCTACGTAATCAAATTTGACGTAAGGTGACTGTTCTGTGGACTAAACGCTGTGGACTTTGTTGGTTGTAGGTAACCAGCTCTCCAGTGTGCATGGACATGAATGGCATGTCAGTCCCCACGGAGTTCTTGTCAAGGCACAATTCCGATGGAGTCATCACCTTTGTCGACCCAAGGTGCATCAGCGTCATTGGCTACCAGCCCCAGGTCAGTGCGTCGCTGTAAATGTGGAGACTGGTTAGAGCTAATGAAGAAAATATTTGTGTGTTAAAAACAAAAGTAGCAAAACATGAAATATTTGTAGCTGATATTTCATGTCTAAAGTGCATTTCATGCGCTAAATGCCGTTCATTTTTCTTTGCTGTCCACACCTGTAAAATTTACAGTTTTCCCCTTTGTTATATGGGATGTCTTTTTATACCTTTTAGATCCGATTAGAATTGTAACAACAAGATGCTTTAAACCTTACACAGCTTTCCAGCAAAGACATTTCTGTGATAGAAAGTTAACAGTGCTTGGAGAGAGTTTTAATACTGCAGATCTGTACTTCTGCCAATGTACTGAACAATAAGCAAACACCATTTATGGCATCTATTTTCCTTCAGGCTTACATCTGCTCCTTTGAACTGGAGGCTGGTCACAGAACTAAGTAGAATAGTAAATGAACTCCTGACTACCACAGCTCTCCCTCGGATAACTCAACAGTTGCAATTTACAGGCAAAAGTGATTTCTTGCTCCTTAGATTTATCCCATTTATTTTGATTTTAGGTAGCTTAATAGCAACTGTTTTTACAAAAAATAATGCCATAAAATGAGCTGTAGTAGAGGAGGTCAGTCTCTTCAAGACGGTGTTTCACAGGTATTAAAAAAGTCACTTCAAATTTGTTTGTAAATACATATATCTGGGCAATAATACAAATATAATGTGGGACGTGATGCCTACAAACCTTGTTTGTATGATTCATCCCTGGTCCCATTAAGGGTGGTAGATCTAGCATCTGCAAGGGTTACTTGCAGGTCTGCGTATGGATTTGTATTGTGGTTTGAGTTTTTTACACAGCATTATGTTTTGTTCTAGGATCTTCTGGGGAAAGATATTTTAGAATTCTGCCATCCTGAAGATCAAAGCCATTTGAGAGAGAGTTTCCAACAGGTGCTGTGTTCTGTTCCTTTTCTTCCACAATGTTTTTATTATTTTTGTTATTGTTTTACAAAATATGTAAAATTATGTTCAGAGCAGTAGCCTTTATTTTACATTTCAACGTATTTTTTCTGTTATGTGGGAGGAGGAGTGGCAAGGTACGAAACACTTCGTTGATTCAGTTAGTAATCATTTAAGCTGCATAAACAGTAGTTTAAACTGCGGCATGTGTTGGCTGTATTGTCAGAAATGTCACCTAGTTATACATCTTGTTTTCTTACAAAAAATTAAAGAAGTGTTCACTGCACAGTTAGAGCTGTTTTGGAGGTCCCTGTATAGATCCCACTATGTTAAGTGGAAACCAGAGGTTTTTACCTTGCAAGGTGGGCTGTTGATTTGAAAGTAGTTACACTGTGCTGTAACGCTGGATTGTTTATGACCTGAATTCTCTGCTAGCATAGATGACGTGCTTCATACTTTAATGTAGTTACACCACTTTACATCAACAGGGAATTTGGCCCTTCTCCCTATTAGGAATTGAAATGCAGACAGAAGTAACAAAAGAAATGCAACATATGGAAAGAGTTACTGATCTGGATTCATTTTTACAGTGGGCCACATTTACATCAGCTATATCAAAGGCATTTATTCTGTTGTAGAGCTTACTGTTTCAAATTGATCTGGGACATGCAGTAGGAGTACTTTCCCCAAGCCTGCTGCTTGTTGCTGGGCTTTTCAGCGCCTTCCCTGCTGCACTGGTAAGCACGGTGTAGTGTGTTCAACTGGTTACTGAGGTTCAGATGTTGTAAGTGGTTCCAGATTTTTCTGACAGCAGCCTATAGCTCAGCCAAGTCTTGTTGATCCATCTTGCGTTGGATGCTGAGATGTATTTTCAGCTGTGAAACATGGATATGAAGTGACTTCTAAAATAATTTGTATAGCCAACTATTTATTCAGGCATGGCACGCAGAAGTGGAGCTTGAAAAGGCTCTCTGTGGAAAACAACGAAATGCTGTTCTGTGTCCATCGAATAGGTTGTGCAACTGAGGTTATGGTCTCTACAGAAGTGTTTGAGATAGTGTAAGATGTCAGTACTCTCGAGGTATTTCTTACCAATCCCTCCCTCAAGCAGAGACTACCAGCCCCACTGCTGAGCTAGCAGAGACATCTGTGTGAGCACTCTGCATCCACCTCATGTCCCTTGAACTGACTGAGTTCAAACAGCAGCTAAAGAGCTTTGAAATTCAAGGTGCTGATTCCCAGGCAGGAACCTGTGAGAGTTAGGTGTTTGAAACAGGTCACCACACGCAGTAATCTTCTCTACCCCACCTTGGCTGGGGGTGTGATGCTGCACCTGAACCTACCTGGTCAGTAGCTGTCACCAGGAGTCAGGTCCTACTCCCCCTCTTCTCTGCTCCCCACCCTTCCTGCTGTCCTGATACTAGCAGACGGACTTGCTGGGTAGGCCAGCTAAGGGACTGATCACTTGTTTCATGGGACTGGCTTGCAGCTGGTGCAGCTCCCTGAACTGGTGCCTGGTTGCATCAGTGGCACAAGAAGAGCAGTGAGAACGCATATGCTGTTTTTCACTAATGCCCACATGATTGATTCTCTGGTTGCATCAGTGGCACAAGAAGAGCAGCGAGAACGCATATGCTGTTTTTCACTGATGCCCACATGATTGATTCCGCTAATTTATCCAAGAGACAGTGACAGAGAGCTGCTGGATAATAACACATCAAACATCCGTCTCTGAAGTGATTGCCTGGGGCTCAGAAGGGCTGACTAACTAACATTCAAGTTAATGACTTGGTCCTCACTGTGTTGGCTGAGAGTGAAATCAGGCTGCGGGCGGCTGCCAGTGAATCCCTGAACTTGGTTGCTGGGGGCTTCACTGTCACTCCTCGCTGTTAGGTGTGTGCGCAAATGATTTGCTGGATCAGGGACCTACACGATTTGCTTAAGGTCATACAAAAAAAGACAGCAGGAAAAAAAATGCAGATTCGAATTGAAAGTTCCTGTTCACTCGACCTGCGTCCAATCTATGAAAACATTGTGCTGTTTCTTTAGTAGGCAATTCCTTCTTCAGTATATTTTTGTTCAGTACAGTAGCAGTGTGATTGGGGCTGTGATTTCAATCATGCAATAAAAGACTGAAGTAAACAGTTAAGCTATGCACCAGGTGGTTTTTATTTCCCAAGAATGTAAGAAAGTAAAGGTTAAACATTAGTTTTGAAATTTTTTTGTGCTGTCTTGTTTGTGTGCACTGTTTTAAGACAGTTCAGGATTTTCCCACCAGCGATCTCTATGTTGAATATGTTATTACAGAATTAGTATTTGCTTAATTCAGACTTCAGGACAATAGATCTCTGCAGTTTGTTTTATTAGTGTCAGTTTGGCCTTAGAAAACTTTTCATTAAAAAGGTAACTGTGATTTCCAATAAACTCTCTTTTTTTAATAAAACCCCCTGAAAAGTTGACATTTCTAATTTGCTGACACTATCAGAACCAGGTTAGTGCATACAGAGGAGGGAGGGAGGGTTTTGCAGTTTTTGGTCAATTGCCAGCATCCATCTCAAAGCTTGTACTTCCTTTGGAAGATAAATTCATTCATCAGGGTGGGAAAATTGGGCCAGAAGAAGATAGTCTCAAGGCCAAGATCAACAAATAGACTTTGGTATCAAAGGATCCAGAATACAGCTATTTGATATCCAGTAGGATGCTATTCAGATTGGACGCTTTCACACAAGCTCTGTGGTTTTTACCTTGGGTGTGGTAATAGAGAATTGCTGATAAAAGAATGTCACTCACTGAACTCAAACTACAAAAGCATTAAAAAAACAAAAAGGCATTTACCTCAGTATTATTCTGAACTTTCCTGGGCATTCCTAAGGCTTTTTGTATCTTCTATTTGCATTCTTTCCATTTAATCCTGTATCCAGTTGATCAATATGAAATGCACACCTTTGGAAAAAACAGGATTGGAGCCTTTTTTTTGATCCAATTGCATGTCGATAAAGGCAGAGGATAAATACTGTGTTTTCTACTTTTAGAGAATACAGGCTACAGATAGCTAATACAAAATAAATTCCAGTGAATAGGGATTAAGAATCCACAATGAGTTATGGCATAGATTTGCGGTAGACCTTCCCTTTCCTTCCCTGAAGCACCCTGAGATAGCTTGGTGGAAAAGCAATAAAAAATAAGCACAGGTGGCCCAGGTAAGTGCCAGCTGAATCACTTGAAACCATAGAAGTTTTCTTCTGACTTAAACCAAGATTGTTAGATAGCACATAAAATGCAGTTACAGTGCCAGGGTGCAAGTATTGTTGTGAGCGTAGTTGCTTAGCTGGCTGCTTCTTACTTCTCACTTGATGCCCAACTGTTGACTTCAGCAAAACTTCAGCCACCAAAATCAGAATTTGAACTGAGTGTTGCCAGACATCTGAATTCCTAGTTATAAACAAATAGGCTGTCCAAGCAAAGAATTTGCTCTCCATTTTCATTAATTCTATTAAAATGGATAGTGGCTTATTGGTGTTCTCTCCATTCAAACAATGGCTCACTCTTTCTTCTTTTGAAAGCCAGAAGCAAGTGTTTCTTGTTAGCACTTTGCCATCCTGGGAGTCTTATGGTGGGGTTGGGGGCGGTGGAGGGGGTGACCAACTGCATGTGGTTTCAAATAAAAACCACCAAACCATCATGTTTAAGTATTATCCTAGGTTTTGATACTGATGTATGATTTGTATATCACATATATGAATTGCATAGGTAGGTATCCAAGCAGAAAAGCAGGGTAGTCAACCTCAAAATATTTTTTTGCGTGGGCTTAAACATTTAAAAGATCGTCAGTTTGGTTTCTGTCAATCTCTCGATAAGCATTCCACATTACAACCTTCTTAAAGCTTCCCTGCTGGGATAATAGCACAACCTGTTGGTTGTCCTGAATCTGTATTCTTCTCATATGCAGGCTGGAAAATGGCATTTTATACAACAAAGTGTGAGGGTTTCATTCTGAAGGAAGTAGCTGCAAACATGAATCAGATTTTGCTTATTCTCTTCAAATTAAGAATCTCCCTGCTGTGTCCATAGCTTTCCATAATTCAAGTTTAAAACACACCAGTTATTGCTGTTTACTATTCATTTGCACAGCAGGTAGCAATCTCCTTTTATTAACCTTTCCAAATGGTTTTGCAGGTTGTGAAACTGAAGGGTCAAGTCCTGTCTGTGATGTATCGTTTTCGTACCAAAAACCGGGAGTGGATGCTGATCAGAACCAGCAGCTTCACATTTCAGAATCCTTATTCCGACGAGATTGAATACATCATCTGCACCAACACTAATGTAAAGTATGTGCCTTTCCAGATGCTCATGTACGTGGTTTTGAAATAATTTAAGCATTGCTTTTTGTTGTAAAGTGCATTATTATTTTTGTGGTAGCTGGTTTCTAGCTGCATTTGTCTTTCTGTAACAGTACAGTCTGTAACAGGGGTTTTCTGCATCATGAGATCTGCAGTGTAGCTGTTTCTCTGTGTCATTATCCTGTGATGCTTCCAAGGTCCAGCTGCACTGGGGGAGAAACTTCACTTATCTGTTACGTCGTTAGACAAGCCCATTGATCTCAGTCCAGGCTGCCTTAAACTAGAACAGAGTTTCCAGCAGCAGACCAGCTGTCATGATATTGGAGGAAGGTCAGCCTGCTTCCTAAGCCAAAGAGAAAATTCCACGTCTATGTTAAAAAATATCACGCAAGTAAGCAAGACTCCTGCCTCTCGTTCATTGTGGTCATACCGTTACGTAGTCCCGGGCATCTTCTCCTTGGCCTGTGTCTAATCTTCCAGCCTATGAAAGCTGGCAAAATGATTTCCTAGTAGACTGGAGTGGGAAGGGCTCCTGATACTCAGTTAAGATCTGGTGGAATATCCCCAAGTATGGGGACAGATCCAGCGCCTTATCTTAAGAGGTCAGTGAAATCATCCTGTCTTAGAATTAATGTTCTCAAAAATCTGTAATTGAACCCTTTAGAAGGAGGTCACCGTAGGAGTATAGTGGAGGTTCGTCACCGTGTGACTGAGCAGAGAAGCTTTTGGAGCCTCCTGAGTTCTGAGCCAGTAACTACAGAAGCTAAGCTGGCCTTGATAAAGCCATTGCTTTATAGTGTGTGGGTTTTTAATAAATATTTTTTCTTTCTAATATAAACCTAATCTATTTCTAAAACACAATCTGCTTCTGATATGACCAAAGATTTTTTGCCAAGTTTTTAGCTCAGAGGAAGTTGTTGGTTTTCAGATCTCAACCTGTTAGACTGCATAGTGGAAATGCTGATCGAGCAATCTGCTAGTGGAGGTGCGTGCTGAGAGCTCCATTTGCAAAATCAAACCCCTGGGGCTTTGTCATTTGAACTTAGAAAGCTAGTAAGTGTGTCTGGGTGTTCCTTGACTTGCTCCTTCGGACATGGCACATACCTGGGCTAGAAGGGCTGTGCTTCTACTCAAAACCCAGCATCACAGTCGTTTTGCTCATTTTTTTCTGCACACCCAAAAAGGTGGGCTTAAGGAACTGAATAGTTAAGCTCATTGAAAACGAGCAAATGTGTATTGAAATCAGACAGCTAAATATCTCCCTGTCTGCACTGTGCATCAAAATAGATACTTCCACATTTCTGCTGTCCCATATTTCTCTTCCAAATAATTTGTATATGCAAAAGCAGGCCTGCAAAATAAAAAGTGACTTCTGAAGTCTGTCCCAGGCTGGCCTAATTGTGCTTGCTTCCCAAGAGTCCATAGATCAAAAAGTGGGGCTGTAGACTTAAGCTGTGTTGACTCTGGGAATGTTTTTGTCCAAGCCCCCACTACACTGTTCAGCTTGGCATCGCAGCACTTACTGCGATGAACAGGACTGTGCCAGCTTCTGGCTCTTATTGTATCTCTCTTGCTAGATTTGAGTAACAACCCAGAAATGTTGACCTAGTATGGAAGTTGCCTGCTGCTACTTTGACAGAGGGTGTTCCCTCTTTCCTGTCATGTAGAAGTGTTCTAGTCTGATGGCAAGATACAACCCATTATACAGCTGCTTTTCAACAGTAGAAAGAATGTGTTATTGAAACTGTTTTCTTTTTTTTCCCCGGTTCTCTCCCACTTCTCGGAGAGATTTCCAAAGAGGACTTACTGTAATGCACTGCTGTTCCTGCCTGTTTCTGGATTTTTTTTTTTTCTTTTTTTTGCACATTTGGGGTCATGTTTTGACTTCTGATTTGCTAGATGCCTTGGGGAGTTGTATGTCGTGGTAACTTGATTTCTGCCTCCTCACTAAGCTCTTGCTGGAGCTGGACGTTTGGCACCGACCCCAGTGTGCGTGGCCATATTGACGTGTCGGTGGAAGCATCGGGTGCTCTGGGTCCAGCAGTGCTTCACGTGGAGACCAAGCAGGGGCTCCTTCCACTACGCAGTTGTAGGCAGCTCTGCACAGAGACGAGTTTTGATTTGGCTATTGTTGTGATAACCTAGCCAGCTCCATAAAATACAGGCTTGAGGCAGTTAAAAATTCAGCATGAAATTGTGCAGACAATGTAGCCGAAAGTTCTAGGTTTAAATCAGTTTCTAATTTGGGGTACTTTAAAGTCACAGTAGGTACGTCTGTGTGTGCCTGTCGCTGAACAGAGTACCTCTCGAGCTGGTCGGTGAACAGCGCTTTCCCAGAAGACTGTAGAGGGCAGTGGTGGTTCCAGCTGTGGAGGGATGAATTGATGTTTGTTGTTGTGTGTTTGGTTTGTTTGTTTTGCTTTTTTATCTTTATCTTTTTAATAAAGATACTCCTTTGGAGCTTCAAACAGTAACTTTCCAAACTTGCTTTTGATGCGGAAGGATAACGAAACATTAGGTTCAAATGTTCACTTAGTTCCTTGCAAAAAAAGAAAAGAAAACTTCTCACCGTCTCACTTGGGTGTAGTCATCCAAGAGAAACTTCCTGGAGCAATGAAGCATTTAACGTTTAGCATTTGTGCTGTATTCTGCTGAAAAGAAGAGTCACCCATTTGACCACATCTTCCTGTGTAGTTGGGACTGTTTGATTTCCAAAAAGAAATAATAATTGTGATCAGCGTTTATTTAGCATACGCATAAAGCAGCATTTGAATAAAATAATCTGTCATGGTCACAGATAAAACTGTATCATAGTCTTTGTATGTATATAGAAGAAAGATACTTTTCTGACCTTTATGGAAATTCTGATGTTTCATTTTTGTAAGCCCCAAAGTCCTATGTTGCACTGTGTGCATTTATGAATCCTGCAGTTGTCTTGAGTCGCAAGACTTTTTGTCTCGGAGTGAGCTGGCGCAGGTCCCTGCTGGAGGCAGCTCGTGGGATGAATCAGCCCGTGCTTGTGGGCGCAATGCTTTCTGTTTCAGATTCTCATGGGCCAAAATACTGAAGAGATCAACGGTTTTGATAAAATGCCAGTCTGTGGTAGTGTGCTAGAGACTCACTTTCTCATGATCCCTGTGCCATCTGTGAGGTCTCTGATCCCTCAGGGCTGGTGTTGGGCAGACCCTTTCGCGGGGGGAGTTTGAAACTGTAGGCTAAAAGAGGGAGATTTTGAGAGTTTCTGAAAGAGGATTTTACAGCAGCAGCCCCAAGGCTTTTGTTACTCCCTTTGTGTCCAAACCAGACGCAGGAAGCACATGTGCCTGCATTACATAAAAATGGCTTGGTAGGGATACAATAGTATTGTTTGACTCCCACCGTAGAGACTGTTAATTTTAAAGTTCAAATCCTTTTTTGGTTACTCTGATGCCTGGAGAAGGAACAGGTGACTTTAGTGTTCATAGAGAGAGATTAATTCGGCTGAAAATCTCTCCGGTGTGAAGGGAGCTTTCACAGAATCTTCCCTTTTCCATCAAATATGTTTACTGAAGTAGATTTGAATTGACCATCAAAACCTTCAGATTCGCTGAACCATTCCTTGTTCAAGCCAAGGGCTTTCCCAGTTTCATGCCAAACCTGGGGGTGAGGCAGGAGTTCCTGCAGCACAGGCAGTGTCCTCTGGACCCAGACAATGCCTGACTTGCTGTGTTGGGTATCTTGTAGAGCCAGGACATTTCTCTTTCATTTACTCCTTGAAGCTGTGAAACTGAAATTAAAACCAAGGATGGTTTGGGTTTTGGTTTCAAAGTCAGAAGGCAGTTTGAGTTTTGCCCAAATAACAATCCCTTGTTCTGTATCGTCTTTACAAACACAATCTAGCAACTGGACGCCTGAAGGGACCTCCGCGTGTTGGCTGTTTGGTCAGGAAGGCTGGTGAGATGGCAGGGTTGGAAGCAACCACAACAGCAGCGCTCCGCTGTCCCTGGGGCGGCTGGTCCACGAATTGCTGCTGCATAACGTCTTTCAGGTTTCAAGCAACATTTGAACTCTTTGTACAGTAGCAGCAAACAACAGCAGAAGATGCTAACCTGGGTTTGCATTTCAGTCTTAATGAAGTGCAGCATAGCTCAGTGTGGATACACTTAAGGGTTTGGTTTTTATAGGAAATGGATTGGGGTGGTTGTTCCCGAAGTTCAGTGCTGTTAACACAACATGGTATTTATATCGTACTGCAGCTTAACAAGTATTAGAGATGAAAGATAGAGCAGGGCAAAGGAGCACCAAGTTAGAAGTGCCTACAAAACAAACAACTAGTAACTATGCTGTTTTGTTTGGCTCATTTGTATGTATATGGCTGAATCAAGAAAACATACTTTATACGGAACAGAAGAGACCTAATGTGCTGTTTATTGACACACGCACCAAGTCATTGGTAGTAAAAACAAATGGAACAGTGTAATTAGCTTTCACATTAACAACAGAATTTAATGGGTGTTTATTGTCCACAGGGTGGTATTTCGAAAAACTTCCCCATAGATTTGCCATGATTGAATTACCTCCCATAGTTCTGCTGGAAAAGCAGGCATTTTCTGCTTGCGAATAAAGAATTTCTTTGCATTCCAGGGGTAATTTTTAGGAATTCTCTGTTGGCTAAAATAATGCGGAAAATCCATGGCTCTCTAATGACCTGGAGTACTGACTTTTTTTGCATGTTACTCATAGGACAAAAGTGATTCTGCGTGTTACGTGGTCTTACACCGTAAGGCTAGCAGAAGGCTTTTGGCCATCTGCTCCGATCTTCTGTTTGTTGCAGGTCACAGATTTTTGTCCAATTTGCCATGGAGCCTAGTAACTGGTGGCTGAGCAAAGCGTCTTCTGGAAAAGCATCAAGGGATGGAAAAAATCTGTTACTTATTTCAGTAGCTTGTTTGAGTGGTCTCTTGTGTTCCCATCATTTTGTGCCTAATTTGTCATATGACTTTGTCTGCAAGTTTCTCAGTCCCTTGAAATTTGAATCTATCTAGTTCAAAATTTAAAAGAAGATTTGGATAAAAATCTAAAATTCAAGCCTGTGGCCAAAAATGTATCCAAATTTTCCAGGGTTTCAAATCCATGACCTTGCAAAATCTTGTCTATTACTGCCTGTCACATTAGTCTCTCACTGGGGGAAAACCCCCGTGGTGTGTAATTCCTGTCCGGTCAGTGATTTTTCCCTTCGGAAAGAGGCCAGAAGCATACAGAAACTGCGACCACTGTCAACTATCATTTGCAAGTATCAAGCTTACTTTCTTGTCAGTCCAACTCCAATCTTATCCTAATCTCTGAGCTGTAGCATAATTTGGGGGGGGTTGTATCTTCTTTGCTAGCTGAGCAAAGAGCCTCACAGAGACAGTGTGCTACCTGCGCATCCTCGGGCCAGAAGTAACCTTGCTAATCGTGACCGAGCGACAGAAAGCAACTGCTCCTGGAAGGTGCGAAACATTTAGGTGATTTTGCAGCTGCTGAGGTTTTTTGTCATGACACAGGCAGTCTTCCTCTGAGACGCTGAGTGCCGGCAAACGCCGGCTTCAGCCCGGAGACTGGTTCAGTGCCCGTGGTGCTTTTGGCCCATGCCAGTGTTGTGCAAAAGCGGATTCTTTACCCGGTGTGCAATAAGCCAGTCCTCACGCGCGCAGGAGAGAGATTGTTTTATTCAGGCCTGGGTGCTCGGTGGATTTTCCACAAATCAAGCACACCCAATGCTAGCTTCTTCGATATATTTATACCTTAAATTCATGCATATTCTATCTATCTAATACATATTCATTCTAATCTGCATGCACTGTGGGACTGCGTGGTGTCATTCTTCTTGGCTGCTTTTCAGACCCCTCTGCGCATGTCTTCCTCCTTTTCAGGGGTCTCTGGTGGTCCGCGGTGATCTTCGGATGAAGTACCCTCATTCCTTTTATCCATGTATGGCCACATGTCACCTAAGGACAACTTAAGGCTACCATCTTTCGCCAATTTTCCTTTGTTCCTTCAAGAAAGAGAATTTGTCTTTGATTAAGCGGATAGTGTAGATGGCCAAGATATTCTGTCTCTAAGCTTAGGTTAAACATTAACATAATTCTGGTCATGCACTACTTGATCAAAGGGACACTATTAAACACGAACCATACTCCTGCTTTCCAAGGGAAGGACTTGTTCTTTTACACCAGAGCAAGGAGCTCTGCCTTCTCCATGGCAGTGAAGCTTCTTCAGGCAAGGGCCACGGCGGAGCCTTTCCTTTTCCCAGGGAACTCTCAGGTTGTCGTGCCTGTGTATCAGCTGGCTCGCTGGCTGCAAGCTGCTGTCGACGTGACGCTGTGAAGTGGAGGTGACGCTGCGGTCGTGCTGTTCAGGGCTGTGGCTAGGTCAGGCTGGAGCCGGGGCACAGCTCAGACCCCGCGCTGCGCTGGCGGGGTCCCGGGGCTCTCGCGCTCTGTCATCCCAGCTCTGTGGGACAAAGCTGGGTTTGGCTCGCTGCAAGCAGTCACATAGACCTACGCTCAGACAAGTGAGGTTCCTAACGACCCAGCGTGGGGGTGGTGTGAGTCCACACAAGAAAGCAGAACCTCACATTTGAATGGTAAAATTCTGGTCTTCATGGATCAGTAGCACTTTTGCCTTTCATTTCAAAAGGATTGGATTTTATTTCTGAGAAACTGTACTGCACAGTGGCTTTTTGTGTAGAAGTGGCTTTGTTACAGTACTTTCAAAATTTCCGATAGCAATGATTAATATAACTGTCTCCTTTTTTTTTTTTTAAATTAGGAGCTTTGAATTTGTATCCTTTCAGAACTAAAAAAAGCAAGTGGAGGAATGAATTCAGAAGATCACTGTACTAGATATATTACAACTATATAAAAGATCTGTACATTTTTGTAAATAGGCAATATCTGCACATGGAGAATGGGAATATGCCCGACTTGCCACCACTTGCGTGCTGTCCCTGCAGGTCACCTGTCAGTTAATTCTCGTGACTTCCAATGATTTTATCTGTTGATATTGGCTAATTGTCATAGTTAAGTAACAGCACCTGATACCAAATACAAATCAACTGCATTTCAAGGATCTGCAGAGTTTTCAGCACTGAAGTTCTTCATTCTGGCATGTGGCCCCTAACATTTATTGGCTCTGGCAGTTTCTTTTGAAGTATTTTTCTATTGCTGCTGCACATTTAATTTTTCCTAAATTCATATAATTGGATTAAGGCTATTACTTCCAGTGATATTTATCTCATTTAAATAATGGATATTTTTTGTTCAGTTCTGATTAGCATGAAAAGGAGACTTGTGTTTTCTGTAGCATTTGTCAACACAAATTGATTTTGTGTAATGTCTTTATAAAGTAGCACAAGCAATTTATTTCTGGACGTTCGCTGCCTTAAAAGCTTTCAAAAATTGAATAGAATCTGGACTTGGATCCTGAGGAGAGTAGAACCAAAGCATATTAAATAGGTTTTATTACAGAGAAGGATTTATATGCTATTCTTTCTCGCTCAACAGGTTGTTCCATTTGGTCTGACATGCTTCAGACAGAGCTTTGA